TATCCTTGAGCACTTCCAGGAGTTACCTCTAAGCATTGAGCCAGCCTCTACACCCTTCTGGGTATGTGGCCTAATCCTCCTTTCCCCCAAGATAGTATATTGATTTCTGTGGGTTACATTAAGAAACTGTCTTTTGTTAGCTTGCTGTGTACGCTTTAAATCTAAGACTTGGATACTGTATCAATGAGGAGAGCATGTATCATGAGATATAAAATCGAGAGGCTTGAGCCCTTCCACCTTATAGTCTTCCACCTTCTCACAAGTTACAGTGCTTTACTGATAGATAAAGCCATCTTATGTTAGAGGTTTTACTACCCTCCCTAAAGTCTACAACTCCCTGTCCCTGTTAAAACTTCACCTACTGTGTGGTCTTCCTTTAGCTTGCTGTGTATGCTTGGTCTGTATTTTCCACACTATCATTTAGATGAAAATGCAGGAAGAAGAGAGTTGTGTATCTCTAATTGTCAATTGTCTTTCCAGAATCCTTGGAGACTTCTGTATTTTTATTTCAATGTTTAATCATCAAGACTGGGCATGTAGCTCAGTGGTAGAGCAGTCACCTTCCTTGTTTAACATTATGGGTTTGATTCCTAATGCCCCACTCCCAAGTGTTTAATTATGAAATTTCTGGGTATAATTGTGAATTATCCAATTGTTGAGCCTTTATAAGATATTTATATACCTCAAATGAATTCTGAAAGAGTAGTAATGTCAGAGGCCAGAGAGATTGTGTAGCCAGTAGGGCACTTACCTTGCACATGGCCAACCTGGGTTTCATCTCACCACCTGATGTGGTCCCTTGAGCCTGCCAGGAGTGATCCCTGAGCCAGGAGTAAGCCCTGAGAACTGCCATGTGTGGCTCCAAAGCCAAAAAAATAATAATAAGTAGCTTTCTAATATATGGAAATATCATGGAAATCATACAAGCATACTATAGCTCCTATATTTTTCATACTAGTTTATTTTAGACAGAAAGTTTATAGAGTAGATGGAATAATGCAAAATATAAAAAAGTAAAATATAAAAAATATTTAAAAAGTTGGGCTGGAGCGATAGCACAGTGGTAGGGCGTTTGCTTTGCACGCAGCCAACATGGCAGGCCCGAGTTCGATTCCTCCGCCCCTCTCGGAGAGCCCGGCAAGCTACCGAGAGTATCTCGCCCGCAGGGCAGAGCCTGGCAAGCTGTCCGTGACGTATTCGATATGCCAAACACAGTAACAACAAAGTCTCCAATGGAGACGTTACTGGGCCCGCTCGAGCAAATCGATGATCAATGGGAGGGCCTTTATTTATTTTTTATTATTATAAAAAGTATACTCTGTAGATTTTAATAAGCCCTTATTTCTTATCATTATAAATTGACTTCATTTATTTACAGTATTTTATATGTACATAATATTTGCAGGCTACTGTGCTAAATGATTTTGATGCCAAGTGGGGTCCCCCAGTGACTTACGTAAAGTAGAAAAGAGAGAAGCAGCAGAATTATCCATTTTGGTTAATTCTAGCATTCCTTACATACTGTGGACTAATATCCCTGTGACTTTGCCTGACATAACTGTGTTAAAACCCAATTTTTCTTTTTCTTTGCATTTTTTTAAAATAGGAAAATCAAAGAAAAATGCTCTTGACTAAAATCTATCACCTTCTCAAGATGAGGGATATATTATGTAGTACATATTCTAATAATTATGTACATATTCTAAGAAATAAAAATGAACAAATGTTTATGCTCCATATTCCAAAATTTGGTTGAGTAAAGTTTAAAACTGGATTGGCTTCCTCTGAGTATATACTTCTTATAGGAATGTCATGCTACAGTGTTGCTAGGTGAAATGGTTTTGGCATGGGTATGCCATGATAGCCTTTTGGACCTATGAAATGGGAAATAATGTGTATTGTTGATGGGTCTGGAGCAATAGCACAACTGGTAGGGCATTTGCCTTGCACGCAGCCAACCTGGGTTTGATTCCCAGCATCCCATATGGTCCACTGAGCACTGCCAGGGGTAATTTCTTAGTGCAGAGCCAGGAGTAACCCCTCTACATTGCCAGGTGTGACCCAAAAAGCAAAAAAAAAAATGTGTATTGTTGAATGTAAAGTTAACCACTAATATTGCACTATAACACTGTCCTCCTGTTGTTCATTGATTTGCTCGAGCTGTACCAGTAACGTCTCCATTGTGAGACTTGTTACTGTTTTAGGCATATCAGTTACACTGCGGGTAGCTTGCCAGGCTCTGCTGTGTAGGCGGGATACTCTCACTTGCTTGCCGGACTCTCTGAGAGGGATGGAGGAATTGAACTCGGGTCAGCCTACTGTGCCATCGCTCCAGCCCAAGGTCCAAGTACAAAATAAAATGTAATACATTATTTTCAGATGCCAAAGTTGAAATCTTTTTTGTAAACCACTAATATTAAACATGTAAAATACCTATGTGGAGTTAAATATAGTAATTAATTAATGTCCAGCACCATGGAACTCATTCCAACAAATCTTGCCAATTCTTTGCCAGTACTGGTGCTTCAGGCCCCCAGGTCATGGGGGCCAACCTGTGGGTTCATGGATTCTGCCTTCTCTTTATTGACCTGTAGAGCACCTGGTCCTTCTGGGAGTCTCTGGGTCTGGGAGTCAAGCAAAGGAGAGAACTCAAACATTCTTTATTGGAGCCTTGCACACTTTCTCATCCCTAAACTCTGTGTTTAAGTACATTCCTAATAGAAGTCCTCTTTTTCTTAGTAGTGTCCTTGGGGACTCACTGCTCTGTCATTTCGTTGCAGTTCTGCTACTCAGCTCTTGGATTGGTGGGCAGCCTCTTGCTTTCAGAACTCCCCCTCCCCCCATAGCTCTGTGTTCTCTCAGGGATTATCAGCAACCTCCTCTACCATCCCTGGGCTCTCTGGGCTCATTTCAGTGGTTAGGGGCAGCGTCTAGCTGTGGCAGGTACCCCTTAACTAACTGTCCCACACACAATTGAGAGAATAAGGGGAGCTTATTCTCTCAAGCCTCCCTTGCAGTTCCTTTTCTCTGGAGCCCCTTATCCCAAATCTTGGGAAACTATTTAATGGGGAATAAGATAAAATAAGCTATGTGCCAAAGCCTAGCTCTAGCACACAAGTATTCAAGGTTTTCCTCTGACTCCCATGCCCGAGTTTGTGCTGTTTCAGCTGAATCAATGGCTCATTTGATTCCTAAAACATGTTACATGGCACAGAGCTTCTAAATCTTGTTTACTGTCAGAAAAAGGCATAATACCCCACATGTAACAAATAAAAATAAAATATTTCTTGTAATATATAATTAAGGGTGACAAAACTGGGATCATTGGTATAGGGTAGTAGGCACTGGTGAAGGGATTGGTGTTGAAACAATAGACTCCTGAAACTCAATCATAAATATCTTTGTAACTTTGTAACTCATGGTGATTCAGTTTTAAAAAAGGAAAAATACATTATTTTTCCAAGTAGAGTTTGCTGACTGAAGGGGTTACTGACCCTTAAAAATGCAAATTTTTACTGTTACATTTTTTTGTATGTTTTTGTGGGCTGGAGAGGTAGTACAGTGGATAATGTGCGTGCCTTGCACACCTGACCCCCATTCAATCCTCAGCACCACATATGGTCCTCCAAGCACTGCCAAGAGTGGTCCCTTAGGAAAGAGCCAGGACTGGGTGTGATGCTTGGAACTAACTCCAAGCAAAAAAGTCCAAGTTTTATTAAGACATTGATAGTTGAGTGGTAAACAGATAAAAGAAGCCAGAGAGGATATATTCAGTAAAGGACAATCTTCTATATCTCCAATCATAGTTTTATGTAAACTTTTTCCCTTAGGTCCACTTGGGTTCCAGTGATAAAGACAGATTGCTTTATTTTATGAGTATATATTTAGGGGGAAAAATAAATTTTCGCATTATAGGAATAGCATTGGACTGGGAGTCAGTTGGGTCTTGGTCAGGTACAACTGAAACTTGCTTTAAGGCCTAGATTAAGTCACTTGACCTGGGTCTCCATCTCTTTCTGTCTTAAAGCTTTACAATGTTAGGGCCAGAGAAGTACAGCAAGAAAGTTACTTGCTTTGCATGTGGCTGACCCAGGTTTCATCCCAGCATCACATATGCGAGGGTGATTCCTGATGGCAGAGCTAGGAGTGAGCATGAACACCACCAGGTGTGGCCCAAAAACAATTCTACAAAGCTAACCCATAGCAAAATACTAAGGTGAAATCAGAGGTCTCTAATGTACACCCATATAAAAATGTGAAAATAATGGTTTTCTGACAAAAATCTTGAAAATGATGACTATAAACAGTATTTTTATATTAAAAGATAAATTTAGCTATTTAGTTACATTTCTTCAAGTTTTCAGATACTAAGTTTGGGGAAGTTTGTTGAATCTCTCACACTGAAATTCATCTTCATTGGAAATATTTATAATTAACAAATATAATGAGCATATTTGTGGTGAGAGGAATAATTATGCAATCAAAATTGTTACAACTCCTTCTTGTTCCTTTTCCCTGCCATTAGGCCAAAATCCAGAATTACATTTATACCCCAGGGAATGGGCTGGGGCAATAGCACAGTGAGTAGGGCATTTGCCTTGCATGTGGCTACACGGTCCACCCCAGTTCCATTCCTCTGGCCCTCTTGGAGAGCCCGCAAGCTACCGAGAGTATCTCGCCCACACGGCAAAGCCTGGCAAGCTACCCATGATGTATTAGATATGCCAAACACAGTAATAAGAAGTCTCACAATGTTACTGGGCCTGCTTGAGCAAATCAATGAACAATGGGAGGACGGTGACAGTGACCCCAGGGAATATAGTTTGACAGAGGATAAGCCATATCTGAATTTAGATCTTTACACCTTAGTAAAATTAATAGTGATCAGGAGTAGAGGTAAATGTTGATGTTATAAATTCATAGTTTTGTCAATGGAAAAGTAGAAATATAAAATATGTGTTTATGCTCTGCTTCCTAACACTAAAATTTTTCTTTACCAGGAGGGGAGAAGCAAAGAGTAGCAATTGCAAGAGCTATTTTGAAGGATCCCCCAGTTATTCTCTATGATGAGGCAACTTCGTCACTAGATTCAATTACTGAAGAGGTAAATAATGAGAAAAATACAAAGTTCATCAATTCTGTATTTCACTTTTTTCCTTAGAATTTTTTTTTGTAATGGCTACATTCCTTTGCAGTTTGAATTGACTTATGTAGGAAGTGCAATAAAGTAAATTATGTAGGCCTTTCCCTCAATACAGCAAACTTGGTTTTATGACTGTCAGCTTGAATTAAATGAGCATTGTCTGTTTATAGGCATGCCTTTTGTGGACTATCTAACCACTTATGCTTTTGTATTGTCCTTACATCTTTCAAAGTTGTAGTAAAAATGCATAACCTATTAAATTTTGGTCTTTCTGCCACTGTCACTTTAAATATTTTGAGGGGGTGGTTTGGGCCAAATCCAGTCATGTTCAGGAGTTACTCCTGACTCTGCACTCAGGAATTATTCTGGCAATGCTCAGGGGGCCATATCTGGGGTGCCAGGGATGAACCCAGGTCGGCCGTGCACAAGGCAAACACACTGCTCTATCCGTACCTGACACTGCTACTTTTAATACTCATTAAAATGGGGGGCTGGAGCAATAGTACAGCGGGTAGGGCATTTATTTGCCTTGTATGTGTCCGACCCAGATTCGATCCCAGGTGTCCCATATGACCCTCCAAGCACCGCCAGGAGTAATTCTGAGTGTAGAGCCATAACTAACCCCTGATCAATGCTAGGTGTGACCCAACAATACCCCAAAAAATGGGTTTTGTAAATGACTGTGACACGTACACAGAGAGCTTTTCACTTATCATGGAACAGTTAACCATGCTGCGAACAAGTTAGATATAAAGAGCCTGCTATTGACGTCAGTTTATATTCATTTCAAAAGAAATAATACAAAATAAGATGGGTCACAGATGACACACCATACTGACCTTCATAATGGTATCATCACATTAAATACAAGTCTTAATAATCTAGAAATTAAGATAGCATATGCTATTTGTCAGTTTCCCTCATCCCATTTATGTTTTACTTTAATACATATTAAACCTGTTTTTAAGAATAGACCTAATGTCAGCTATAGAAAATAGTAGTTAGAAAAAAACAGAAATTAGCTATAGAAATTTCAGAATTGGTCCTGTACTTGATTTTCATTCTACCCTACTAAAATATAAGGTCTTCTTAAGTAACCATCTACTCTTGAAAGTTTTATTCCTTTGATATACATATATATATATATATAAAATGATTAGAAATATCTGTAGGAAGCCATTGAGTTCCCTACCCTGCTCTTTCTGTCTAGCTAACTATACTTAGACCCAGATTTTCAAGTACATCTGAATGTATTTATAACTCTCTTGTTCTTTATAAACAATAAGCAAAAATGTATTACTCAGGATGCATTAAAAGTCATTGCATTTGAAAAATACTTAACATACTTTGTAGTCTCACTCTTTCTGACAATTGAATTAAGGTAAAGCAAATGTTACTTTAGTCTTTGTGTCTCCTATATTTCTTTGCATTTTAAAATTTTTTCTTTACATTTTATTTCTCAAGTTCATAATTATTTTGTTATTGTTAACCAGATTAATGTCTGGCTATGTTCTGATAACACTGGAGTAGTCATTGTTTTTTAAGGACAGGGCCAGGGATGGAAAATATTCTAATAATCTGTCAGATTTGTAAGTTAAGAAAACGTTGCTTATGTTAAATATTGTTTTTCCACGGTAGTTTTGTTTTATTTGACTACTTTTTTTTTCTTTTTGGGTCACACCCAATGATTCACAGGAGTTACTCCTGGCTCTGCACTCAGGAATTACCCCGACGGTGCTCGGGACCATATGGGATGCTGGGAATCAACCCAGATCGGCCACATGAAAGGCATATGCCCTACCCACTGTGCTATTGCTCCAGCCCCTTGACTTCTTTTTTGATTGAGTTTCTCCTGTTTTTAGTAGCTTGGTCAAAGTGTTGTACTTGTTTCAAGTTAATGTAATATAAGTAGTAGACATTTTATAAGTTTATTTAGGAAATACATGAAATTTTAATTTACATTTACCTAATCTTTTCCCCTTCCGCTCTTCTTCTTGTCAATTTTTCAGACTATTCTTAGTGCCATGAAGGATGCAGTCAAACACAGAACTTCTATTTTCATTGCACACAGATTGTCAACAGTCATTGATGCAGATGAAATCATTGTCTTAAACCAGGTAAGAGATTTAACTTTAAACTTAATATTTGAGAAACACCAAAATTGTTACAAACAGGGGCCAGTGGATAAGGTGCTTGCCTTGCATGTGGCCAACCCAGGTTCAATCCCCGGCATCCTGTATGGTCCCCTGAGCACAGCCAGGATTGATTCCTGAGTGCAGAGCTAGGAGAAAGTGCTGAGCATCATCAGGTATGGCCCAAAACAAAACAAAACAAAAAAATTGTTATAAAAATAAGTTTATAAGAATTGTTTTAGAAGAAGTGCAAAGAATTTGTGTTCTTTGAATGATACTAAATCTGACTGAATTTTGTTTCACCCACTTTTGATAAAAAAATAATGCATGTCACTTTCTTTTTTTTGGTCAGACATTTTTTAAAAAATTTTATTAAGTTTTTTTGAATCACCATGAGATGTTACAAGCTTTCATGTTCGGGTTACAATCACACAGTGATCAAACTCCCATCCCTCCATCAGTGCACATTTCCCACCACCAATATCCCGGGTATACCCCCCCTTTCACACCCTCCCCCTTCCTCCATGACAGACAATACTCCCCATACTCTCTCTCTACTTTTGGGCATTATTGTTTGCAATGCAGACCCTGAGAGGTTATCATGTTTGATCCTTTATCTACTTTCTTCACACATCTCCCATCCCGACCGATTCCTCCAGCCATCATTTTCTTAGTAATCCCTTCTCTATTCCAGCTGCCTTCTCCACTTTGCTCATGAGGCAGGCTTCCAACTATGGAGCAATCTTCCTGTCCCGTGTATCTGCTATCCTTAGGTGTTAGCCTCATATTATGTTGTTTTGTACTCCACTAATGAGTGCAGTCCTTCTGTGTCTGTCCCTCTCTTTCTGACTCATTTTACTTAGCATGATACTCTCCATGATATCCACTTCTGAGCAAATTTCATGACTTCATCTCTCCTAACAGCTGCATAGTATAGATCCATTCTGTAGATGTACCAAAGTTTCTTTAACCAGTCATCTGTTCTAGGGCACTTGGGTTGTTTCCAGATTTTGACTATTGTGAACAGTGCATGCATGTCACTTTCAAGATGAATAAAGTTTATTAATTCACTTTATTAAAATAATAAAAACAATATTAAAACAGAAAGACATTAACTATATGGCAGATACAGATTTTAAAAGGAATATGTTGTCTTTCTATATTCACTTTTCTGTAGAGAATTTTTGCCCAATACATTTACAGTACTTTATATTTTCACTTTTGTGATATCTCTATCCACTCTTGATTTCTAAAAGAAGATTGTCATAAAATAAAGTGGTCATTGTCAAATATGGGCATTTTTAGTTCACCTTTTCCTTAAGGGAAAAATTAAGTAAGACAAAGCAAGTATAGTCTGCTTTATCTCTTCTGAGGGAATCTCTATTGAAGAATACTAAGTGTTCTAAATAAATCAGAGTACCACAATTATAAGATGTTAAAATTTGTTAGCAAGTTTTCATTCTTCACTACATTATTCAATGAGGTTCATGGTATGTAAGTTATTTTTCCACAGTGTCACTGGTATTTGGGTTATAATTGGAGTTTGTTTGTTTATTTTGGTTTGGGGGCCATACTTGATGGTCCTCAGGGCTTTCTCCTGGCTCTGCTTTCAGGCACTGCTCCTGGTGATGATTGCTAGGAAGCCACATAAAGTACTGGGGACTGAACCCAGTCATCTTTGTGTAAGCCAAGCTCCCTGCCTGCTGTACTTTCTTTCTGGTACCTGGAGCTAGTTTATTAATGATCATAGCACCTTTATCTAAAATTTTATTTATTATATTTGTAATTTGATGTTTCTTTAGTTTCTTAATTACAAAGTGAGGCATTTTTCAGTGAAACTAGAATTCATAGTAAGTCTGCATAAGAAATAATAATTCCCTAGGCTCTTGTTCACCCACTACAGACTGGTTATTATCTCTTCTCAGCTTTGGCAAAAAGCTGAAAGTTTATTTTTCAGGAAATTGATAAATCAATTCCTTGTGTCAGAAGCTTTAAATATAAGTAAATCAGAATAATAGAGAAGAGTGTGAGAAACTAGAAATCAAAATGTACTGAAGGATAAGATTATAGGTCTTTTGCAATCAGCTTCTAGTACCTTGTGAACATGTTGTGAAAAGCTGACAATTAGTAAAAGTTTTCTGAAAACACAACAACCAGAAATTAATTCAGAATCAACCATGTAATTAATTTGAGGTATTTCTGGAGTGCTTGCCCTTTTGGATTTCTTAGGCAAAAGGGGGTTGAGGTAGAAAAAGATAAAATATCTGTGATAGTATAATAAATTATGAAAAAAAGTAAAGAAAATTTGAATGTAATGAATATGTTATTGGTAGAATAACAAATGGAAGTTGTTGGAGTAGCCAATTCAGAGCTATTTTGTATATATATTAATAACTGATCATACGAGTAGATCCATTTGTATTGTTGGGAAGGAAAGGTCTTTCGCAGGAAGAGAATTCAGAAATATGGAAAGGAAAAAGTGGAGGAAGAACATGAGGTTGGTTAACTTGGAACAGAATTATCAGTATGAATTTATAATGGGCAATTTCAGTGATAAGGCTTAGAAGAAACAAAATTTCAGTACAGATGAATATATACGTAGCATCTAGATCTCGTACATAAAATACCATTACTCACCAAAGAAACTATGGCACCTTAGAGAAATGACTTACTGTATATATGGGGCACAATAATGGATGAAGACATATCATCTATGCAAAGGAGCTATTCTGAATGGGTTCCCAATGGCCAAAGGTGGGGGATAATTTGAATGATAATACATTGAATTGAAAACTACTCTGTAAGTTCATGGTGATATATAAAAACGTATAGTGGGAAAAGGAAAAGGTTTTTTCTAGGTATCACTTGCATCATTTGGTGTCCCCTTGTTTGTTGATTTGCTCGAGATGGCGCCAGTAACGTCTCCATTCATCCCTGTCGCTTGCTTGCGTAGCCCAATGGCATATTGGGGGCTCTTTCAGGGTCAGGGGAATGAGGCCCATTATTGTTAACTGTTTTTGGCATATTGAATATGTCATGGGGAGCTTGCCAGGTTCTGCCTTTTTGTAGTGCATTTTTCTTAGTACTTAGTACTACACTTTTCTTTAGTACATTTTGCTTTTATTATTTTTTAGTTTTTATTAAAGAACCATGATTTACAAAGTTATTCATTGTGGGATTCTAGGCATAGAAGGTTGCAGCACCAATCCCACCACAACCTCACCTTCTCTCCACCCTGTGTTCCCAGGTTCCCTCCCATGTCCTCCCCAACCTGCCCTCTTGACAGGCACTTTTTTAAGTTAGGGTTGTTAAAGTTTGGTCTCATGATTTTAGTATTGTTGACTCTATGGTTTAGATATTTAGCGCTGTCATTCCTTAACACCACCAATGTACTTAAATCCCCTTGACTCCTGCCCCGCCTTGTTTCATACCTCTCTCTTTACCCCCTCCCCTCCACTCTATTTTTTCCCTTTTCTCCCCTATACCCTCCTGGGTCTAAGGATGATCCAGGTATCCCTCTTAAAGGAAAGTTTTTTAAGAATGTGAACTAACACATGTAGAAGGAATGAAGAATTTATAATGACAAACTACCAAACCACTGTTGTAATAATTGATTCAACTAAGGATCTTTTTTTTTTCATAAAAATACATAGTGAAAAGTATTGGGAAATAGACTGTATAGTATTTGAAATCACATAGATTAATTATTAATTTTAAATAGAAGCTGTCTTTAAAACATATAGCAGATACAGCCTTTACCAAGTATCATACTTAATACTTAATTGTGAAGCAAATTGACACCATGTGTTCCTGAATATAATACACAGAAGACATTTCACCTATATTATATTTATACCAGAAATGTTTAGCCTGGATCAGGAAGAACTATATAAACACAACTTGAAGGGTATTGTATAAAAACAAATCTGTACTTGTTATAAATGCCAGCAACATATACTAACAGAGTAGGTAGAATTTAGTCTGAGTATTAATCCAGAACATTGCTGCTGATTGATCATAGCTGGAAATATATGTGTGTAAATATTTCTATGTGTAAAGTCATTTATGCACTATAATAATTTTTGTGACTGTAACATAGTTGCATTTCAGTCAGAAGCAAACTATCCTGGTTTTTAGAAAATTAAAGTAATTAGGGGTGAATTGTAATGACATCTACAGTTTAAAGTGATGTAAAATATAATGTAGTGAGAGGATAAATGAGAAAAACAAAAACCATTGTTGAACTAGGAGAAACATTTAAAGTTTTCATTGTTATTTGTGTTAAACTTCAAATTATAGAATGGATGCTTATAAATAGATTAGAAACAAAACAAAATAAAAAACATCATTGTTTAAATAAGTTCCAGAAGTATCAGAAATTAGTAATAGAGGAAATATAAGAAAATGAGAGATTTAATCTAAAGATGGCCAGTGTGTGATTAATCATAGTTTTACATCAAGAACACCAAGGCATGAATTTCCAGAATTGAAAAGGCTTTTCAAAACAGTGGGGGGTGGGGAGGTTTCGAGATACATAATAAGATTTGAGGATAAAGGAAAGAACCAAAAAGACCCAAGAAAAATCTCAGAGGTGGTGGAATAAACATTGCCTAAATCATTGATTATGAGAAAACTGGTGTTCAAGACTTCTATAATTCTAAAATCAATTTTGTAAATTACTAATACTGATGAAAAAAGTGGAGTAAATATTACGGTAAAGTAAGTCCAGGAAACATAAGAAAATGAGAAAATATATATTAAGTCCTAACCTACATAGCTTATCAGGCAAAACTTACATAGTAATTTTAACTTAATATTAACATGATCAACATTTGTGATAAAAAATTTTATATTCATAATAGGAAGTATGTACAGTCATACTCAATATATGTACTTGAGGTTTTTTTCAATATCAAATGTAACTATTGTCACATAGTAACAGATAAATGATGTTATTCTTTCAACTTTGGATCGTTTTCTCTAAG